GTACAATGCAATAGAAATATAATGTGCTGATACAGAGGATGTTAACATGTGAACTTCAAGACGCGAGATAAGATTCCATAGCGTAGCGACAATGCTAGCAAGAAATACAAGTACCGGGTAATAATTATAATATTGTATAAAATACAGGGTGATGATGTATATAACTCCTCCCTTAAACTTTTAGGACGTCCTCGTTCTTATCGATCTCAATAGACTGATTTGACTTTCGAGATGATTTTTTCTCTTTACAGAACTTTTTTTAATTTTACCACAAGCACAAACAATATAACAACAAATACACCTATTATAAGAGTGTTATTTATACTAAGTAACATATAAATCCGAACACTCAGTTTAAACGGTTTTATTTTTATAAAATTTTGTATAAGTACTTAATGAAGCATAATAAGTAAATGATAAAAATTTCAAAATGATTGCACTGCTTTAAAGCCCTTTGACCTTTAATAATGTGTGGATGCACCCTGATGTGCTACGCATTCTCCAACGCGCCTAGGCATGCTTCTGATCAGGTGGTCAATGTCCTCCTGTGGTATCTCATTCCAGGCAACCACCAACTCCTCTCGAAGTGCTTCTAGAGTCTGAGGAGGACGTTGCAAATTAAGCAATCTCCTTACCCATCATATCCCACACGTGCTCAATTGGGGATAAGCCGGGAGATCTTGGTGGCCATGGTAACAATGTGACATCATTATGTTAAAAGAAGTCTATTGTGACTCTTGCAACATGTGGTCGGGCATTATCTTGTTGGAAAGTTGGATCTGCCAGGGGATCAAGATAGGGTAAAAGATGGGGTTCTAGAACTTCGTGGATATAACGCTGCGCGTTCATGTTACCTCTGATGAAGATTAAAGGTGACCTGGAACCATAAGCTATAGCACCCCAAACCATAACTCCAACAGTGTGATGAACATGTCTTTCAACAAAAAACTGTGGATCTCCTTTCACCACATCGCCTTCTAACTCTGGCACGACCATCGAGACTCGTCACTAAAGACAATACTGTTCCATTCCTGATCCCAGAGTGACCGGTGTCTGCACCACTCAAGTCGATTACGTCGGTGTTCTCGAGTTAAAGGGAGGACCCAGTGTGGCCGGTATGAAAACAAACCAAAACTTCTCATTCGTCGGTAAAAACTTCGCATGCCAATAGGCCTTCCGTGTTCCGCAAACCATTCATTTGCAATGGACCTGGTAGTGGAGAAACGGTCCCTTAAGGCCAATAATCTTAGGCGGCGATCTTCGCGGTCTGTTGTTCTACGGCGGCGTCCAGTGCCCCTTGCTCTTTGCGTACGGCCCTCTCGAAGCCATGCCTGACAACACCTAACCACAGTGTCTACACTTCTTTGCACTCTAACTGCAATTGCCCGAAAAGAAAGTCCAGCTTCCCGAAGTCCCACTATACGGCCCCTGTCAAACTCACTAAGTTGACGAAATCGTACAGGTCTCCGTACTCTAGGCATCGTAACCGATCGTAAAGGATGTCAAGAACCAAAATCCGCCAACGTTGATTCTTTACTGCGGCTGAAATATTCATTTTTAAAGCGTTAGTGAATTAAAAAAAAGCAGCATAAGAACCGGAATGTCCAACTGATAAGGCTGAAAATTTTTTCACTTGTTATTTACAGTAAGATAGATACATTCACCAACTTTTATTAAAATAAAATCATTTAAACTGGGTGTTCGGATTTATATGTCACTTAGTATACATGAGAATGGTAATTTTTAATATGGGCCAGTTCCTCAAGACTAAAACTAGCTACATTTGTCATCTGTTTCTGTGATAAGGATATTGTGCCTTGGATCGGTCTGAGATAATCTAAAATTTCTCGTAAAGGAATAAATAGTCTAAAAATCGAACTTTCATATTCGTAATCATATATTGACTTCTAGACAGTTTCTGATAGCAATCGTACATAGTTTTGAATGACTTTCACATCGTTCTCAAATTTTTGTGAAATGAGCTGAGCGAATGTGATTTTTTATTATTGATGGCTATTATAAGTTCGTTTTCCTTGTCTTTTAATGATTGAAATTTATCGTTGATTTCTGTAAGGTCATCTTGATCTAAATTTACTGTCACATACATAATTGCTCGACGTCTTCTAATGTGTGAATGATAAGGTGATAATTTTAAATATTCCATTTTTACATTATTAACATTTTTGTATAGGTACCGGTTTGAGGTTGATCTCACTAGAACGGTTTACTACAATACTATAACTAACTTTAATCTGTCTAATAACATCAGCTAGTAAGCTGAGATTATGGCTAAAATAAACGTATGATAATGGCTTATTAATTTTGCATCCCCCAACGGCTTCGGGTAGAAACCCTTATTGGTTGGGACTTGATGAAGCCTCAGCGGAAGACCTGCGGCCGTAGGGTTGCCCTGTGAGGAAAAACCCTTTTTTACTCTTTTAATCTGACGCAAATTCCTTCTAGTGCGAACTGTTTTTTTGCTTAGAGTCTGTAACCGCAAGGTATTGCCTTTCTGATTTCTAACTTTGGAACCAAACCAAGATTTTTAAAGGCTTTTGCTATTATTGCATTAATGTGATCAATAAAAGAAAGCTTTAGATCGAATAATACGCCCAAATCCTTGACGATACTAACACGACAAAGAACATTGCTACCGGTTTCAAAATCAAAACATGTCGGTTCCACCCTGCGTGTAAACGTCATAGAAGTATATTTATTGACATTCAAGTGCATGTTATTTACCTTACACCCGTGATCAATAACATTCAGATCAGCCTGTAACCTTAAACGTCTTCTGATCAGCACACGCTATTAAAGATTTTGAGGTCATCGGCATATAGCAGGTACTCACAACGCAAGTCTGTTGTAACATCATTGATAAAAATTAAAAATAATAGAGGACTCAGAACAGAACCTCGGGGCACCCCTGATGTAGCTAAAACTGCACCAGGCTTATATCCACGGAAGTCCACACATAATTGTCTATTACTGATGTATGAATGAAAGAAAGCTAAGAGTCTAGATGTTACTTAGACAGCATCTGCAGTCGAACACCGTGATCCAAACGGTCGAAAGCTTTAGAAAAGTCAGTATAGATTACATCAACTTGCCCGCCATTATCCAGAACTGACGCGGAGTACTGCTTAAAACATGCGTGGAGGACGTGATGTATGTGGACTGGAAATACTTAGCAAAAGTATCAACAATTTCCTGTGTATTCCTGAACTCCTCATTTTCCAAAGACATATTGTTGGGTATGCCTGATCTGTTGCTGCGCAAGTTAACAAAGGACCAAAATTGATTGGGCTTTTGCGCAAGGGCACGCTCAGTTCTCGCAAGAAAAATAGAAAACGCCGAGTCTATATCGATTTTGATGGCTCTTCGCAAGTTACTGAAAGCTTCATCGTCAGATCTAACCAAAGTTATCTGATATCGCTTATTTTTTTGATATTTTAAAGATTATTGCACGAGGTAAAACCAGGGAGGGTATTTGTTATCCTTTGTTAATGTGCATGGAACGTGCCTATCGAAAGCGTTATGCAATTTGTTATAAAACAGGTCACAAGCAATATTAATTTCGAGGATGTCAGATGGAAAAGAAAAATCCGAATCCATAATACTGGTGTAGGAAGTGAAAAGAGCACTTCTATCGGAGGGTGGTGTCTATCCACTGGTAAAAGAATATCAGATGCATTTCTCACATTAACGTAATTATTACAGTATACGATATTCGAGATAGCATATAAGTAGCTATTACGACCTCCACGAATGGTATTAGGATTCTCTTGGGCCCACGTGTGCTGATATCTGCATCGATTTACACGATATTTAAAATTTGTTCCTCCTGCTCTAAAGTAACCTGTCTTTCACGAGTGCCAATATTAGTGTGCTGAACACTGTATCTCTAAGTCTTTGCTACACTTGCACAAATGTCCTTCTGCCTGGGTGTACCCGTTGGCGAAATCTGTGGCGATAAATTTGAGCTGCAAGATTTGAATTCTGACGAGCTCCAGCGTGAACTAACAACATGTCGGCGAACTCTTGATTCTAGAACGTCGTAAATCAAACGCGAACAAAAACAAAACAACATACTAACCACTGTTAGCGTTCGCGATCGATTCCCGGTTCGATAAGAGTGATGATGACCGACGCGCTGTTGTCATGTGCGTTTTAAATATCCAACTTAATGAAACTTACTTACTGACTACAAATTTTGGTTTAACTTACCTTACCAACTTTAAGTCTTGTTGAACTATCAATGATCATTTGGATAGCGTTAAAAACTTCTTCGGGTCCACTTTGCTTAATTTTTTGCGGACCATCTGAAGTAACATACATAATCGGAAGCTTTTTTCTGTCTTGGATCGAGATTACATCTTGAAAAATAATTTCCGATTGCGTCACCAATATATGTCCACGAACCCTAATCTAAAACTATTTTTGTAAATCTCTGGCGCTTATCGCTGTTAATTGCTTGTCGGAGAAACGAAAACAGTCAGTTAAGAAGATAATAAATGTTATACTTTTCATGATGAATGAAAGTTATGATGTTTTGACTCATTCATCAGATGTACGGCTTCGATAAGTCGTTTTTTCATTATATATTTTTTAATTAAATTAATGTTATATCGGTGTTTGGTAATGTGTATGTCTGCGTGATGAAATAGGTTCCTGGGCGGTGCTGCTGTAGACATTTTTATTGCTTGAAAGTTGACGAAATAGCTTGATCTACTTTATAACTTGAACTTCAATGTGGAAATTAGGGGACCAAGCGGTTATCTGTAACGCTTCCCAACTAACAATTTATGTTGATTTTTTTTAAGTTGGTATCTTTTGACCGTTGGTAACAGCTTGACGGTTAACGGGGAACGCTATAGAGACATCTTAAGGAATTTTTTGTGGCCACTATTAGACGACATGCGCTTGCAAAATCTCTGGTTCCAGCAGAATCACGCAACATGCCACACCAGCCGTGAAACAAACACTAAATTCGTTATCAGCCGCTTTGGAGGCATTCATTGGTCAGCCCGCAGCTGTGATTTGACGTCCGTGGATTACTTCCTATGGGGTGCTGTTAAGGAACGCTGTTACACTAACGATCCTCAAAGAATTGACGTTCTTAAGGAACATATCCGTCGAGCTATTGATGAAATAGACCAACAAACTATCGAAAATGTGCTTCAAAATCGGGTTAAAAGGATGGACTATTTCCAGGCCAGCCGCGGCAGACATTTAACAGAAATTGTTTTTCATAAATAATCGGAACGTGTATTCGTTTGAATAAAGTATATTATTGAAGAGTGTAGTTTGATAACAATCTCAAAAATAAACCCATGGATGGCCCACCCTATATAAAGGTCCGAACATCGTTCACAAAAGTATTTTATAAAATTACTATGTCGTGGTAAATGATCCTACAGAACCAATAAAGTTTACTATTTTCACTATTACCTTTTAGGGCTTCGCAAGATCAAGACCAAGACCATGACTTGCCTAGTATTGGACTTGATCTTGCAATATAAGTGTTATATACTTGATTCCCTTGAATGTTAGATAGTCAACTATTTTGTGACGTGTACTTGTGGTAGCATAAGACATTTTTAGAATTGTACATTTTGACTTCTGAAATTTGATATATAGGGTGGCGCATCGAAAACGAAACAGACGCATTTACTACCAGCTCAGTTTTTTTTTTTTGGAAAAAACTCTGACACGTCGATTTTGTTTTCGAGGGGGACACAAGTTTGGAAAAAAATCACGTTAACACGTGCAGCCCCCTGGGCGGGGGTGATACCAACCCTAAAATCTTAAATGGAAAGGGGGGTCGAGTGATACCTTGTTTTAAAGGTCTTTCAATTCTCTTTATAATGATATAAAATTAATGTACTTCAAGTCAGTAGTTTTGAAGATTTATTGTTTAAAGCTTAAATAAAACTAAAACATCATCATTAGTGGAGATCAATACTTTTGGCAGCAAAGTAATTTAAAAATGAAGAATGAACTGATCCGTTGGGCAAGTAAATGTTGAAAATGGCCACCTTTAAAATAAGGTATCACTCGACCCCCCTTTCCATTTAAGATTTTGGGGGTGGTGTCACCCCCGCCCAGGGGGCTGCACGTGTTAACGTGATTTTTTGCCCAACTTGTGTCCCCCGTCGAAAACAAAATCGACGGCTCTGAGCGTTTTCCAAAAAAAAAAAACTAAGCTGCCGGTAAATGCGTCTGTTTCGTTTTCGATGAGCCACCCTGTATATCCGCTTTCCGTTTTCGTTTTAGCCTGTGTCGATTGTTATTGAGGGAGAAAAGTACTTTTGTAATTACAAGAGTATTTCTGAGGGCCCAGTGTTTTATTTCTCCGAGTTCAATTAGATTTGAAGGCACTTACACAACAATAATATTCCAAAGCACAAGGTGAAGATTCCACAATTCCCAAGGCGATCCTAGATCCAATATAAAGTTACCCGCTGCAAATATCTAACTCAATAGTTGTAAACGACTCTGGTAGATGTGGAAAAGTTCGCTGGTCGATCTTGTTGGCTACGACAATGGTGGTATACAGGGTGGCCGATATGATATGTAAAACTGACTGGTTTGTATCTTGAATATTTGTGAAACGAAATAAAATACGTATTTTTTTTCATCTTACAAATTATGAATGAAAAGCAATATCAGACAAATGTCATTTGTATATTGACCACCCTGTATTTGAAATGTTTTTGTGGAAAAAGGAGCTTCACATGTGATTGTTTTCTAATCAAAGCCGTTACTCTTTTCGAAAATCGCCAAAGGACAGGATAAATAATACGGTCTTAAAACGGTGGAAAAAATCACCCGATGAATTTTTATGACATATTTTGAAAACGCCTTGTACACAAAACATTACAGTATTACTATTTCTCGGTGCATTGGTAAACCACAGCCTAATTTGAATAGACAAAGGTTAGCACCACATAAAAATGTAAAAGTATCATTTGAATAAAAATTTTGTATGGCAATCGATCGCGTAGGATATTGCACGTAGATTCCTGCAAGAATTAATAAATTATGAGAGTGTCTCGGTCGGAGACATTACCATATCGTCGCACGCAACTGACATCGCGTACACTTGTCGCACGGATGATTCATACCTGAAACAAAAAGGGATAGTTAGAAATGCGTTGTACGTGAAATTTTATTGCTGTTAATGAATATTCAAAGGATAGGAGTGGGGTTGTTTATACCATGATAATGCAGATCAGATCAGTATCCCTTCGTGGTACACCAGTATTAGGAAAGTCAAGCATAAAGCAAAGTTATACAAGAAGTACAAAAAGAGTCACAATAACCAACTACATGAACAGTACAAACAATTATACACGTAATGTTGAGATTTCCATCTCTCAAGATCCTAAACATTTTTGGAGTTTCATGCACACAAACAATCGAACTACTAGGTAAAATGAAGTTCAATGACGTCTCACTGAACGATCCTTACTGTGCTGTCAATGCATTTGCAGATTTTTTTAATAGTGTTCTTGTTGATCCGTCTACTCGTAATCATTTTATTGAAGGCAGGAATCCTACTAGTCAGGCTAACATATTTTTCAATGACATTCATGAAAATGAGATTATTGGTGCATCTAAAAAACTCAAGAATGTGACCTTGGAGAGTGACCCCGAGTTTCCGAGTGACCTTGAAGTGTGACCTTGAACATATATGACCTCGAGCACGCTCGAAAACTCAAGGTCACTCGGAAACTCAAGGTCACGTTTCAAGGTCACACTTCAAGGTCACATTTCAAGGTTGGCACCGAAGGTCAGCTCTCAAGGTCGTTTGGCACCGAATGTCGGCGCTCAAGGGCGTCCCAGAACATACAAACCCTATCTACTGTTGCAAAAACGGTATCTTTTTTTAGAAGTATAAATAGGAGAATAGAAAAAAGTATGCAGCATAAAGGTATAATAAGTAGAATAAACAATAAAATAGATAGTAATTACTAAGAATTATAAAACCCTTGCAGAGAGTAAAAACACTAGGGTAGTAAGTATGTTAAAGTTGTTTTTGAAGACTTCTTAAGTAGTTGATGGCTTTTAACTCGGAGGCCAAATTATTGAAGATAAATAAGCATAGGTAATCTCGGTATGTGCCGAGGCTAGAGCTGTTCCATGTAACTTTGCTATTATTCTTTAGATTGTATCCTGGGACTCTTTAAGGTAGGTGAATTTGGAAGGATATTATTTCACATGAAGGCACGTCTCTAGCATGAGCAATGATGCTAGTAGAGTTTTTCATCACTAAACGTTTTTCGACAAGACCTCTAGATGATGCAATGAGAATAATAGTGTGACTCTTCTTTTGAAGGATAAAGATTCGTGGGATCAACATATGATTCCCAATATAGCACTAAATAGCAGAGTAGTTGACGTTTAACAAGTGTTTTTCATTCATTGCGTATTCTAAGCTTCTTAGAGCAAAAAAATATGAATTCCTCCTCTTGATCTGAAATTACTTACAAAAGTAGGCGAGATCGTTGCTGAGTGTTATTAACTAAGTTAATGAGAACATATAGTAACTTTTGCTACCATGGATCCATGGATCCAGTTTTCATCAGCTTTTTCACCTAATTGTATATATATATATATATATATATATACATATATTTTGAGACGTGGTCATTGTCGTCTAAACCAGTTAGGTGAAAAATTAAAGCTTCCGCCTTTTGTTGGGTACTTCGACAAGATTTAAGCAAAGAGGACTCTTTATACTTTTTTTAATTCTCTCTAGCTTTCAATGGACTTTGCCATCATCATCAGGAGCTGCAATTACAATGATAACAGTAGCAACAAAGGTGTAAAATGAATTTAAATTGACTCAACTTACAGTAGTATGTGAGGATGTTGCTAATTGTTGTTTACGTATAAGATGAGGGAAACGTCCAGTAACATGGTGAGAGCTGAATAGATTGCACAATAGTCAAAATTTATACAAAACATTACAAGAACAAGTTAAAAACAGATTAAAAATTATTTAAAAAATTTTAAACATTACATCGTGAAACCACCTGATGATTGCACAATTAGTGGTCATGGATGATGAATTGATGAGTGACATGAAACCCTTTGACAGAAGGCCGAAGGATGTCAATGTCAGTATCTTTCAATACTTACAATATTTCACGATGTAATGTTTAAAATTTTTTAATAATTTTTAATCTGTTTTAACTTGTTCTTGTAATGTTTTGTATAAATTTTGACTATTGTGCAATCTATTCAGCTCTCACCATGTTACTGGACGTTTCCCTCATCTTATACGTAAACAACAATTAGCAACATCCTCACATACTACTGCAAGTTGAGTCAATTTAAATTCATTTTACACCTTTGTTGCTACTGTTATCATTGTAATTGCAGCTCCTGATGATGATGGCAAAGTCCATTGAAGCTAGAGAGATTAAAAAAAGTATAAAGATGCCCTCTTGCTTAAATCTTGTCGAAGTACCCAACAAAAGGCGGAAGCTTAATTTTTCACCTATATAGATATATAATATTATGCAGCTATAAAACAGGACTTCAGGCGCTTAGCTTTTGATAGGTTTGTCCACAAACCACTTCTTGTCTAATGCCGTTTCTTCCAGTCTCCTGACATTCGCGCGAATCCAAATCTTCCACAAACGCATCTTTCCATCTCTTTTCGGCCCCTCCTCTTTTTTCTTGGAATCCGGAATTCTCATCCTATATGCTTCACTGTTATTCTTGCGGCGTTCTTGCAGGTGCACCAGCCACTGCCATCTTCCGGTCTAGCTACATCTACTATATTTGGTTCAATATAGAGATGTTTATCATGACCCTCCAATATTCTGCCTTAAAAGTTTCCTCTCCCTACCTGAGTGAGGTTTCTTTACGTTTATTATTAATGCCCCAGGTTTCCACTTCTACAAAAGGGGTGGCTGATGATCGTATTATCGTCTTATATTAGAGAGCCTAGATACATTTCTTGACTTGATATTCTATTCACCATTTCCGCACATAATATGGCCGTACCGCTTTCTAGTTTACTTCAGTTTATTCATTAATCAGTGATCCTAAATACTTAAACTCCTCCTTTGCTTAGCATTATTACTAACTTATTTTCCGCTTGAAAGCTCCCGTTCACATAAATTTACCGTTTTTTCGTTTACCTTCAATCCCTCAATGGGATTGAAGCTACAACGTGTAGCTATACAGGGTGTCCGCAAAGTTGGGGTTTCCCTTTTCAGAGACAGCTACCCTTGAAATAACAA